TCAATTCTCTCTCATCATTGATGTTGCTGTCTCTCTCTCCCTCTGCCTTCTTCTATGAAATCAATAAAAACAAATTAACAAAAATAAAAATAAATAGGCCATGAATCAAATGTCACTGCCCTCCATCCTGTCCCTCAAACCCTCTTTTGTCTTCACCTCCCTCCCACCGCCACACACACACACACACACACACACACACACACTCTGATAGAGACATTGAAACAGGGAGACAGGAAAGCAGACAGAATCACCCGCAGAGAGTGGGAGCTAGAGAGACAGAGACACAAAGAGAGAGACACATAGAGACATGAGAAAGGAGCGAGAAAGAGAGCAGACAGACACTGCAGAGGCAGTGACAACTAGAGAAAGACAGAGAGAGGCATGAAGGAGAGACAAAGATGAAGGAAGGAGACAGGCAGGGGCACACAGGGGTCAGAGGTGTATGAAGAACCAGAGGCAGCTGACAGACAGACAGACAGTCAGACAGACAGACAGACAGACAGACAGACAGACAGCTCTTCCGGGCATCCTCTCCATGCAGTAGTGGGCGGGCCCAGTGGCTCCCTGCTTTCCAGCCTCAGTGAGCAGCTGCTGTCCATGGTGCTGCCTGCAGGGACCGGGAGGGGAAGCGGGTGGGATGCGGGAAGCCCTGCTCTCCTCCGGGCTGTGTTGGGTGGTGTGAGGGAAGGTCGGATGGGGAGGCTTCCTCCGGTGCCCCTTTGGTTGGGAAGTAAGCTGGACAAGGTGACTCTGTGGGCACGGAGGCTGGTGTGGGAGTGAGGAGTGTCCGGCGGGAGGTGGGGGGTGCACATGTCCTGTCGGGGCTCTAGCGTTGAGGGGTCCAGGAGCCTGCTGTCGGGTCCTGTGAAGCAGTGTCTGGGTTAACCTCCAGCTTGGGGGGGGGTGTCTCACTGTGTCCCCCTTCACTGCCAGGAGGATGGGTACACCCTGTCCAGCTGTATGGTTTGTCCTCTGCTCACGGAATGGCGTTTTCCCCTCAGCTGGCTGGGGTTAGCGGTCCCCAGGGCCGCCTCTGTCCCCAGCACCCTGCTCTCCTAATGGTGATATGTGGGGCTTTGCAGCATGATGGGTTTGGGCTTGGAACCGGGAGAGCTGGAGCTCCCCCTGCCCCCCACTGCAGGCCCAGCAGGGAGTGGGAGGAGGGGCCTGGCCGGGCTTCTCTCTCTAGTGTTGCCCCTAGCAGCCTCTGCTCAGCTTGTAGGGATTCCCTGCTCCTGTGTGGAGCACTCTTGTTTTGTGCTGCCAACATCAGACTGAGTGGGGTGGGTGTAGGAGGAGGGGCGGGAGGAGGCAGGGAGCGCCACCAGGCCCTGGCGCGAAGCCTCCTGGTGCAGGGAGGTAGTCTGGATCCACCCTCGGCTGTAGCGGCCCTGGCCATGGGTCTGCTGAGGCCCCTCCATCTTCTCAGTGTCCAGACCCCTTAGAATTCTTGCGGCGGGGGGGTGTCACCGGGAGGGCTTGGAAATGGCTTCGCTCTTTTGCGGTGGGGGGGAGGAGGGGTAGGGCTGGCCTGCAGGATGGGGAGAACTGCCTCCCTGTGCTCTTCCCCCCTCCTCTTCTCCTGAGGTTCATGGTTGGCAGGGTGGTGGGGGAGGTGGAGGATGCACTGGGGACCCTCTGGGGGGTGAGCGAGCTCCTCTTTAGGAGGAGGGCTGCGGGATAGCAGGCCTGGGGAAGGGGCGGAGGTCTTTGGATGTGGGCAGGGGGCTGCCTCTGGGGTCACCAGGGCAGGACCTCCTGCCGCCTCCTTTTCTAAATCCCAGCCTTGCTGTCCCCTTAGCTGCCCACGGCCTGCGAGAGGAGCCCGAGTTTGTGACGGCGCGAGCTGGCGAGGCCGTGGTTCTGCGATGCGACGTGATCCACCCGGTGACCGGGCAGCCCCCGCCCTATGTTGTGGAGTGGTTCAAGTTCGGGGTGCCCATCCCCATCTTCATCAAGTTCGGCTACTACCCACCCCACGTGGACCCTGAGTATGCAGGTACGGTCTGGCCCCGTGGCCTCTGTCCTCGGCTCTGGCTGGGCTGCCCCTCCCCCGCGGGGCCGGTGGTTAAGCTTCCTCCTGCCTTTATCTGTGGCCTCCTCTGTTCTTCTCACGGGTCTGAGAGCTGTTTTCCAGTCTCTGCCTCTTCCTTCCTGTCCTTTGGACTCTGGTAGGTTTTGATTCCGCGGTGGGGAGAGAGGGAGAGGAGGTGATGCAGGCAGGAAGCAGGAGTTGGGGGTGCGGGGGGGCAGGCCAGGAGGGCAGCTCTGTGCGGGAGGAGCTGAGTCACAGCCGCCGAGCCTGGTCGTGTGCAGCTGCGGTGTTGCGTCTGCCTGCCCACACCTCCCTCTGG